TTTGCAAATTATATTACTTTGCCTGATTGGGCTAACAGGGTTCTTTAACCTACACAACTTATCCCTGACTGAGTTTATGGGTTTAAATGCCACCTTAATTCTTGCTTTGTTAGGAATCCTACATAGAGTATCACATGACCCCTCTTTATATAGATATAACTGTAGATGCCTCGTTGTGTGAGTAACTTGATATTATTATGAGTGATAAATTGTGCTTGAAACGTCATTAGTAAATATTACTGTATAACAGTGTGAAACTTTATGAAAATAAATTTTCTGCATAAGGGAATTATACTCTACCACAGTGCCCAAGTTCTACTCTTATATCAAGGACATCATTTGCTATGGAGAGAGATGTTTCTATATGTTTTAGGATGCTCTTACTGCGTGAACCCCGCAGTCTATGCTAGAATAAAACTGGCTGTTTAAGGTCTTCACAAGCAAATATTATATCCTAGTCAAATGTCCAGTCCGTTTATGATACAATAGAAATAGTGGTACGTGAAATTAATGGACACTTATCTGTATTTCTGCTTCTCAATTAACACAACTCCCTATTATAACTTCTTGAAGAATGTGTACAATTCATTTTATGAACTATTTAGAGGGTTATCAAAACAGTTTTGCACATTTGATAACAAGTGTCTCATCTTTAATAAAGACATTACGTGTGCTGGAAGTCTGTCTGTCTGCATTCGACATTGAACTTTGCACCAATGTGCAGCAGTTCAAGTCGCCACACTCCATGTAATACACAAAGCAAGAGAAGAAATCCATAATATAGACAGTAAACAGAGGCGAGAGACAAGGGAATAGTAGTAACGAAGAGCAATATAGTTTCGTTGGAAATCACGTCACAAGGAGTGAATGCATCTGCACCATTGAGAACGACTTTGAGCCATATCACCGGTTGTTTCCAGCCATTGGTTCTTACCGTCCCGAGGACCCCAGCCAGGAAGTCTACACCTCCATACGTGACTGGCTAAAACTAACTGTTGTGGATTTCATTTACTGGTGCCATGTTTTGGTTTGACCGCCGCTAGCTCTCTTCCAGCCTGACCCTATGTCAGCTAACATCGCCATACGTAACGTGTTGGAAGTGCACACTAATTATAGCTATTTGATTGATGATAACTAGCAATGGGATCCAGAGAATATATTTCAACCCATTCGAGACTCACTAGGTGCATATATCAACGTCCCCAATGGCTCCTATTATTTACTTCAATTTAAAAGGTGGATATGACACCATTATTTACAGGCACGCAGGAATACACCGATGACGTATCCCAAATGAGAGGCAATGTGCATCTTTAATTCTACTGCCAGCCGCCATTGGTCACATAGCATCATGAGTACTTAAATCTGAGGCATTGAAAAGGACTGATTATTCCGATCTAGGAAAATCAGTCAACGAGAAATCCAGAAGAATAATAGTCGCGATTACCCCCATTTCTTCAGAAAATGTGATACATTTATCTTCAGAGCATTCCATACTTTAAAGTAGACAAATCGCACAACTATCTAACATTATAAGATTCCCTGGTTTGATTAACATTAAAATAAAGAATAAAATCCAGGAAGCTTGTTAAAATTTCCATATATTAGTGATAGCCATAAATATTCACGTATATCTGTAGATTTATTTGTTGTGGTATTTTGTGCAAATCACTACGAAAAAGGGCATTTTAGAGATGAATATCACCCAGGAAGAATAGTTGCACAAATAGCTTCAAAAACCTGCTGGCTACACTTTTGGTCTTACGAACAAAAAATATTTACAAGACAAAGAGGTTGAATAAGGAATATTCTTTTCCATTGAAAAAGTGCCTTCATCCCTGCCAAAAAGTTGAATTAACCCCACAGTAATGGACAGTATCAAAAGTGAAGCCCATCAAAAAGAATATATGGAAGAGACTGAGAGCAAGAATACTCATAAGTTGAAAAAATTTTGGGAGGCACACAAAGTTTGCTGCCTTGATTTGCATGCGTCACACTGTCATATGACGTTACTAATAACTGAGAAAATGAATAGGTGCTGCTTTGTTTCTCTCCGATCTTAGAGATGACGAGTAACAATTTCAGTTTCGTATTGCAATGATGAACGTTTGATTTCTTTCTAACTTTACCAGACGCATTTTATTATCAAGTTAGATAATACCATTTTTTTTCGTCGAAAACGTTACTTTAGAGAGGTTGAAAACTACATCATCTGGGTTCAGTGGGAATTTCGTAGGGAGTTCGACAGCTTTTATAGCACACCAAAGTTTCTGCTTAGATTTCTCTGTGGGTTTTCCATTGATGGTAGTAATATAATTTCTAAATTATTTTCGTTTGGCCACAGATAAATCGTAAATAACGTTATACATTCAAGTTATGTTCCAAAGTGAATACGCGTGAGTGTAAGTCGTCAATTACCACTACATTATATCCCCTTTTCTTATTAATTTACGTGTAACATACTTCACTCACTAAATTATTACGGCTAACAGACTGTGATTGCGTGGGAATAACATTGCCTTTGTTTCACTTCAGTGTTTACCAGAAATGCTGTCTGGTATACTTTAGAATTAAAAAACAAAACAAATAGTTAACAATATTTGGTTGAATGTAAATGTTGCTTACTTGGCTATAACTAAATTTATGTTTTGTTTACATCTTAACAATGATATACAAATGTAGGCGGGTTACTTAAGTTTAGAAAAGCTGATAATGAGAAATTAGTTAGGGTGCTTTCTAAAATTCCAGTTTAATTTAATAAATGGTTAAGAGCTTTTACTATGTATGTATAGAAAAAATGTTCATATATTTTCTAACCTTAAGAACATTTAGTTTTGATTCAGTAAATTAAACCTAACACATGATAAGACCAATCCTCTGTTGTTTTTCACTCGAATAATGGCGCTCATTATAAACAATGATGATTAAAATCTCCTAGAGCACGAGCAAAATGACGGTCATGCACTCAGAACAACTAAATCAGCATTATTTAAATCCGAGGGAATGATTTACAAATAAATTTGAAGAAGTAACCATGGATTAACTGGTATCAGAGTCGATTTCTCAAGGAGTGACACACGATTCTAGATGAAGGATCACCCCCGTGACCTGCATTCCTGTTTCATTGCTTTTCAGGTAAGTGGTTAAACCATTGGCTCCGAAAATTGGCCTCATAGGTTGAGAAACTGTAAAAGCTTGAAAAGTCAATCAGGCGACATACAAATCATAATCCAACAATCGTTCCCGAGTATTTGCCTAGCCGCATAACCACTTATGGGTTTCGAGTGGAACATAGGACTTCAAGAGCACATCTCCACTTCGTTCCATTCTCTGCAGTCCTCCTTGGATGATCCCACGACTAGCGATAGTCTCATATCTCCTCCATGCTACCCTCGCATTCACACCAACTCGTAGTTTCGTATTCGGGTTACACTCGAGCGATAGCCTGGTGCGCGATGTCAGTCGACGGTCCTCTCCAGCTTTATGTCATCTACAGCAAACATTAACTGTTCTTCTCTAGCTTCCATATGAATTCTGTCGTCATCCTTTACATTGATTTATCTAAATGCTTGCAACACTGAATGTCTTTATTCGTACTAAGTCAAAGAATCAGTTTCAGAAATCCATTAATTTAATATGAAGTTTTAGTTATTCTGAAACAACTGCCACCTGCGGTGCTAATAATTCGATTCAGACCAAACACCAATCATTTTTGGACAAAAGTATTGAAAGCTGCACTACTGCTGTCTATTATACCTCAAAAACTACCACACGTTATACCAGTGAAGTGTTTCAAATGAATCCTTCATCTTAGCTAATAAAATTCAATCCACGAGCACTTGTTCTGAGATGTTGTATCCGGTTTTACTGAAATAAACGTTGCACTATTTTCTCTAGTTAAATTGTGCAGTCAGTTTAGAAAATTCAAGTGAAGTAGGAAGTAACTCACGTTTCTACCGCTGACTGTTCCAATACTGAGGAGGATGAATCATATTACCAAACAACTGAACTTTCCAAGTGAATGGGCTTAAACGTAGCTGAAAATACTTATGAGAAGTTTAAGAATTTGCCACTGTACAGATGTTCAGTGGAAATGACACATATTTCCCATAAAAGACATTTTACACTTTAAAGATTACACATGAAGTTAATGTATTGGGTTTATCCTAGATGAAGGGGATAAACAGTTGAAACAAACGTTTCTAAATACGCACACATGCATACAAAGACTATTTTCTCGAAAATCAGTGCATATTACTATCAAGTGGTTCAGTGGAAACCTACGAATCACCTTGAAAGGGTTGATCCTATTCACTGTGTGATCCATATCGAACAACTGAGATGAATTGATCTTCATAATGACATCATCAAATCTTTTTTCAAAACGACAGAATTAAGTAATCAGTAATGCATCTCTTAAATTACCTAGTTGTTTGCCTTATCAATCTTTAGAGCAACAGCCAGCCTTGTAAATACAAATAGTAGAAAGGGTAAAGTTCGATGATTTAACTTCTATTTGAGCGGTGACGACCAGTCATCAAAGGAAGTGATAAACATGCTAACTAAATACGGAAAATTGAACCATTTTGAAGAAGCACTTTACTAAGGTGATAAAAACTGTCATCTACAGTCAACAGCTGCATTTTATCTGACCGCTGAGCACCTAAATTATTAGATTTTTGTCTAAATTATTATTCACCATAACCCAACCGACTACCTCTTCTGTCCATTTATTCAGGACTCTGTGGACTAGACATCTACGAATAAGTTGAGTACAAATAACAATTAATCCTGACAGAAAAAACACAAATTCCTCAATTAAAAAGCTAATGAAAAACAATTTTTCGTCATTATAAAGCATTCGATATTCTGAGTAAAATAGCAAATTAAAAAAGAAGTACTATTAGGTAGAAGTAAAAAATCAAGTTAATTAAAAATTACAACACAAAACAAAAATCACAGCATCAGTAATCAGAAAACTGCAGATAACTATTGATTTATCACATAAACATTATGCCAGCTGGACGACCTGGTTGACTAATAAATATAGGATTATTGTCGCCAATGCTTTCATCAGTTTGATTATAGAATTTTGAGCGTACTTCAGCGATGAATTTCTCTGCCTCAGACTTCTTAACAAGTGACACAGTACAACCACCCCAACCAGCACCAGTAAGACGGCTACCGAAAGCACCAGCTGACCTAAAAATATGCATAAGAACAATAATTTACTTCAGCAAACCTTATTAAAAAATAGGTGTAAAAACAACACTGAGAACAATGCTCGAGTGAAGACATGACTTAATGGCGCATCAAGATTAACACGCTGTGCGTAGTGAAAATGTCGATGTCTGTACTAGGAGTCAATTTATCAACAGAGGCCAAAATTTTCGGTCCAATAAATCAACGGGAAAACAAAATTGAATTAACAGCAAATAATCACTTATACCCGTTGCACAAGAGGTGGTTCTTGTGGTCCAAGTGGTTTAATGTATAATGCTTAGGCGTTTGAGACGATGGGTCCTGGGTTCAAGCCTCAATGGCAACACCACCACTCACTGGTACGTCCAGTGACGAGTCCCAAATAGGACAAAATGCGCATCCTGCATTCCATTGCTAGTCACCATCCACCAAATAACATAGAAAGGAAGGAGTTTAATAGGCTCCATCATTAGATACCAGTAAATATTTAAAACCATGATAAGTTGTTAACAAAACTTTGTATATTTCACGGTAACAGATAATAAATTGATTTCAATGCTTCATTAAATAAAACACACTAACCTGCATATATCTATCAACTTGTCTAATTCTGGACAAGAACACTGATAAAGTTTAGCACATGATAACTGACTATCATTCATTAAATCACCTAACAATTTCATGTAATCAGTACAATTAACTTTTGTACTATCACCACACTGACTGGCCACTTTGCTCATCATTGTTTTCTTGCATAGATTATAGAATTTGTAAACACGTTCAGCCTCAGAGTACACGTGTTCTGCACGGTCCCGTAGACGGAATTCATTCACTAAAACAAAATGCACATAAAAATGATAACTATTGGAGTTGTAAAATTTATTTCCTCTTTTTAGAATATCGCATTTTACTGTTTATTAGCAACCAGGGGTTAGTTACTTGAACTACAACCCGTACAAACGTGACTGTCAATGACTGACTGGTTTCAAAGCAGAAGTGTGCACAGATCTGCAGCAGTTCAAGTTGCATCACTCCCTCCTTGTAGCACATAAAGCAAGAGAAGAGAGTAAAGAGAGATTCAAAAGAAAAATAATTAACAGAAGTGTGAGGTGAAAATAATGGTAATATAGAAGAACAATATAATATTATTGGATATTATCTATCACAAAGAGTGAATGCATCTGTGCTATTCATTGAGAACGACTTTGAGCCATATCACCAATTGTTTTCAGTCACTAGTCTTTACCATCCCGAGGACCACAGCAGAAAGTCTGCACCTCCCTACGTGGCTCAAACCAACTGTCACTAAATTCACGGACTGGTGCCATGTTTGGTTTGACCACCACCACCACCAGCTCTTTTCCAACCTGATTCATCCTGTCAGCTAACATTCCCCGTCGAGGAAGGCGATGGCCAGGCATATGTAACAAGTAGAGAAGTTGCATTAGTAGAGGGAAGGCAAGATAATAGAGATGAAGATGGAGACAAAGATGAGTGAGGATTAGAGAGGTTTCGCGTGCACTTCGGATTGTGAGGGCGATTGTTACTTCCTGGCTGCCCACACCGTGGAAGTTGGTTGCGTGACCGCAGAGCCCAGGGGACAACTGCTTGAGGCCGGTCACACACGGCCTGTTTTTGTTTGTTCTTTTTTATTTGGTGTGTCTCAGTAGCATATTTATCACTTCTGCCCTGTGACACGGCAGCAGGAAGCGCGGTCGTTGTTAATCCGGGCCCCGACCGACCCGGCATGATATTTTGTGATTTTGTTTGAGTCATGGCATTGGATTGGGTAGCTGCTTTTTGTCTAACCGCTATCCGAACAACCTTTCTGGCATGGTAGGACCTACAGGAACATAAATTCCAGCCAGTGTAGCTCGTTGGGTCATTGCGATATGCAAGCCCGACCACCACGTCAAGGTAACAGCTTTCGGTCGGGGCATATGTAACATGCCTTAACCATCTCAAACGATGTAACTTCACAACCCCGTCGATTGATTTTCCCTCCTTACCGAGCATTTGAAGCCTAACCTAAACGCTACACACCCTATTATGCCACCCAACTCGGGAGGTAGACCGCAGACACCTATGATCAAAGCCAGGCTTTTCAGTTTCAATAGCCATGTCACACAGCCATAAGGGAGGACAGAGCGAGCTGCTGAGCAGTACACATGTCCTTCAATCGACAGTCAGCCGGATATCGTGTCTACCCCAGAGATGGCATAAGTCAGCAAATGCCAGACGAGCCTTCTGTATTCGTGCTGAGATTTTGTCAGCGATCAACCCGCTGGCGTTGGCTGATGCGAATTCCCAAATAAGTGAAGTGGTCAACACGCTCCACGGACCACTTTACTCCCTGACTATCTTTAGACTAGAAGTCGATGTAATCCAGTCCTGTAGCACCACCTTGCATTTGACAGGAGAGAATCGTATGCAGAACATTCAAAGATCGCTGCTCTTCAAGGTGTTCCGAAGACTTTGCATTTTATCAGCATCTTCACCCAGGGAGGCAGTAGTATATCGTCTGCATATTCCAACGAGACTATTATCCTCTGGTAACAAGTCAATCTCTGAGTCTCTGAAGTCAGTTAGGTTTAAGTTCATTAATACATCTATGAGGTAAGTAAACAAAAATTAGGACATTGAGTATCCTTGACGGACATCACTTCAGATGACAACCCTCCGTAGGCTGTCACCTGACTGACTGTATGAGTTCGAGTAGAGTGCCTTGATCAGTGCGATGCATTTCCTCGGCATTCCCTTTAAAGCCAAACATAGCCACAGTACCTCTCGGTCCACAGAATCGAATGCCACCTTTAGGTGAAGCAATATAACGATTGGTTAGAGGATTTCATCATGAGCTGATATTGGTTAGAGGACCATTGGAAAACCTGGTAGTACTGGATAGCTGTTTCCTACGTCCTAGTTTGGAACTCTTCAGCAGTACGCACCCACAGGGGTTCAAACCCAGGACCTTCTGGTTACAAGGCGAGCCCGTAGACCATTAAGCCACTGGGACCCGATTCAATGGCCCATGAATTCTAACTTCTGCCAATTCACAACATAGCGGAACCGCTAGCCAATGTTTTCGGCGAGTATTTGTCCTCACACCCGACCTGCTCCACCCTAATGGTCACGACTTCCCACTAGAACCCCAGGTAACCACCTACCTGAATAGGGCCAGTCGCCAGTGAGCATCTCATTGATATTCATGATGAAATCCTCTAACCAATCAAACAAAATTCCTACAAACCAATACTTGAATATAACCATTATTGGACGCCGGTAAATATGCTTACGTTCCAGAGTCTGATGAAGAGTGAAGATTTGATCAATACACACTCTTCATGGTCTAAAGCCTGTCTGGCTCTCTCATGTTGATTTCTTCCGTGCTCTGGTTGGTCTATGCATGATTATGGAGCCTAGAACCTTTGATGCTATATTGGTCAAGGTAATCCTCCAGTCATTGTCAAAGGGAGACTTGTCTGCATTCTCGTATATCGGGATAATCAATGATTTACGCCAAAACGAACCTCTACTAGTTTACTAGCTTGCTGATTTTCTAGCAAATCTCAAACCCTGATAAAGAGGGAGGGTTGGGCGTGGGGATAGCAACCATACACCACAAAAGCTATCAAAACACACAAAAGATATATTGAAAATACCACAAATTAAAACAAAACTTATTCTTCGCTGCAATCGGAGAGGGGAAATGACACCATCAGCTGATGAAAGCCTTCGGGAAATCACTCAGTCAGCTGATGTGTTTTGTCTCTGGCAATGAAAGCTAGAATAAGAATGGGGATGTGGACGTGGAATGTAAGACACTGGGAAGGCAGTCCAGGTAGCCAAAGAAATGAGAAGATATGGTATGGAAGTGCTGGGAATCTGCGAGAGCAGATCCAATGGATGTGAGCTGTGAAAATTGTCAACTGGAGAGTCAGTAATCTACTCCGGTTTGGTCAACCAGACGACAACCACGAGCACACTAAGGCAGTGAGTGGCTATCATGATGTCACCAGTTGCAGCCAAATCCGCAATGCAATGGGAATCAATCGCCTCCTCCAGGATCATGACAGTAAGATTCAACTCAAAAGGAAGTAAGGAAGGAAGGTCACAATTATCCAATGCTACGCACAGTGCTACAAACAACGTGGAACAGGAGCTTTATCATACTCCACTTTGGTTCTCATAATCTGCTCCTTGACTCATGATCTTTTACGCACAATGTTAGCAATTTCCCCCGATAAAGTTCCTTGTACCTGAAGCATATAGTGTGACACCCTACATGAATAAATGACCATGCTGGTTTTCACACGGATCGCGTTTGTTTTCCATATTGAAATAATTATCATAGTGCAAATATGAGTGACTACTATCTGCTCTGAAAACAAGGATATCTTCGAGTATATAACAAACAAATTAAAAATGAATCGAACAAAATAATAAATCAAAATGAATGAAAGCTACCAATTAACTAAAGAAATATACTTGTTTTAGTCCTCAATGTTAAGCACGTATCAATGGTATCGCCACTTAAACCAAGATTGTATAGTTCATCACGAGTTGTAACACCATCAGGTAGATATCTAGTTACAATTGACAATCCATCCGTTTGAACACGTATCATCTCCTCTGGGGTAACTGCTTTCCACGCGTTTTGCGCATCACTCAGACAAAACGGTACCATTGACGCAGAAGTGGAAATGTCGTCAGAACATGAACTATTTTGAGCCAATATCTGAGGGAATTTATTTTATTAAAGGGAAAAATATCAAAAGTGATTAAACAGTCTTCACTATTACATGATAAACTTAAATAAAGCAAGTTGAGTAGTATTCAATAACACGATACCCCATTGTGGTTTGACTGATTTCGGAGTTACCTGCGAATGTCATCTTTATTATGAAATAAAAAATAACCATCACTCATTAGGAAATGACACTTTCTAAAGATAATAAATAGATATTTGAGGTGGCAATATCAGTTGGAGAGACTGAAAGAATAATATAATAAGTAACTTCTATTTGAGAAAGATATGCATGGAGTATTTAAGAAAGAACTACACACCTCCCATTGTTATGCATAAGATAAACCAATTTGATATTTGATTATTTCAAGAGATTAAGATGGTACATGCTGGGGAATGGTGTTGCGAGCTGTTACTTAGACATCCTAGACATAAGGGGTACTAACCATTCCATCATACTAAACAGTATCATACTTGACGACCCCAGACATGAGACGCGAGGAATGTTAAGCAAATACACGTAATAAACAGATCTAACGTGATGACGTAACGCATTCCAGTGAGACTTCGAAGCACTACCTAAAACGTGTACTTTGCTAATAGTTGTGGGTGCGAAACGGATTATTCGTCGTCTCATACTTCAACTATAATTGTACCAGGAAACAAGTAAACATTTTTTAAAAGGCAAAACCAGAAATAAGTAAATAAATATGTGGTGTGTGCTTAAAGCTCAACTAAATTTAAGAATACTTCCTACAAATCCTCAGATTACCAACCTGGGTCTACCTCAGTTGATCTTAATAATAAACTTCTGGATCCAGAAGGTGGAATTTACATATATGGTGCCCAATCGATACGAACTGACTATTTATCACATAAACAACAGATAGTTATACAGATTAAATTAAAAACTACATCTACCAGCTTGTCAGTGGACAACAAAAGAGAATCGAAATTCTTGTACACAGCATACTACTATTACAACACTTTAGTTATAGTTTAACTGGAACTCAGTTACTCAGAACATATTTTTAATGTAACAGGCTGTGTGCTACTTTGTGAGGAGGGCTGATGATACTATTCACTTGCCCAGGGTAAACTAGGTGGGACGGGCGTTGAACCCTGTACCTATTGGCTGAATAGACATTGCTTAAGCCCATGAGTCACATATGCATTAACAACCATCTAGTATACAGCAAGATATAAAGTGCAATACAGATAGACTAGTTGATGAAGGTTATTTTATGCATTAGATTAGCAGTCATATTTTAAAGCGTAACAACTTACGATTGTGAGAGCTTGTTTAGTCATTCCCGCACCCTTTGAGCATTAAGTCAAATAAAACGAACAAGCTACCATGGGATAGTCATGTTAGAATCAGGTAATACGAGTTGAGAGAAGTTGACTGAAGTTGAAGTGAGTGACCGAGTAGAACTACCTTTGGCATAGTACTCTGTAGATTACATGAAATCATTAAAGTGGGTAGACAAGACCCTCAGAGAGGTAAAACTCTGCTTAATGTGAAATTGGGAATATAGATTCGACTAAAACTTGGGGAATCACAAAATATTTAACGCATGTATTATACGCCATACAAAATGCTTACAAAAATCGACTAATCTTACTTCGAATAATGTGGTCCCTTATACAGAATTACAAATTTTATGCTGAAGGAGAGGTTTCTCCTTATTTCGAGGCTTTTAATTTTGATTTACAAGCACAAGAGTATGAGATTCTGAAAAAAAAATTCCAACAACGGCGATTTGTTAGATGCATTGGCTTTTGTGTGTGTGTGAGTACGCTAATAAACACTATCGATGTCTAGAAGTTGGTGAATACATTAAAACTTTGAGTTTTCAAAAAGACACGTCAAGTTGTATGGATTTTATGTCCAAATTATCACCAGATAGTACTTCAGCGGGACTTACGATCTCACTAAAACACAAGTATCCGAACCATGTACTAAAACACACGGTACGAGCAATTAAGGTAATAAAGTATTCCGCTAATTATGTAACTTTTTTGTCCGTTCTCCCCCCCCCCTCAAGGACAACTGCAGACGTAGACAATAGAGTTATTGGATGGCTTTTTTACCCACATGTAAGTTTTAGACTTGGAATTAAATTACGACGCAGTAATTCAACACAAATTAGTCTATAGCACACACAATATCGTCTGAAAATTTTGCAATTGCACATTATATCTCTTTAAAACTAAGCGTTGTTTATCAAAAGTATTTTTGACTAAACCACGCACAGATGCGTACTTATTTATACCGGTATTATTATTATTATTCCTGTTTGTGTTGCTGCGAAATAGCCACACTGCACAAGTATAAACAGCCAGATGTGTGTCCTTGAAATGAGAACAACAAAAACAATGATAACTTGTTTTCAATTTCCAAAACACATGTGGAATGACAAGAAATTCTGAACACAACATGATATGAATCGTCGTGTAATTAGATTTCTACGACAAACACTGATGAATCATAAAGGAGGATAATGATGCTGACAACGTATATATGCAGGCAGAAAAGTGGTTCACTAACTGGGAGTCGACTGCTTTGTACACGCGTCTGTGTGCGTCGGTTTCTGTGTGTGCACGTATATACACTCAGCAACACAAAGAGCACCAGCTGTAGTTTAAGCATCAAATGAATGGAAGAGATGAATGTTAATGAAAAAAAGTTACTGCAATAATGAAGCTTGATAAGTATATGATATGCCATCTACTTAAAGCATGAAATAAACATGATACAGATAACAAGAACTACAAAAAAAATGATATAGAAATAATAAAAATGTAATTTGAATGCATAAAAGTTGTTATGGAAATGAGTAGAGAGAGAGAATTATTAATTTCACAAAAGAGGTGAAAAACGATTACCAAAGATGAAGCATAACAGATAGTACTTTCCATTATGGGTAAATTTTGTTTCGATAAAGTCTCACAGTGTTATACAGGGATGTTTACTGATGACGTTTCGAGCACAATTTATTGCTCATAATCATATCAAGGTAATCACACGACTTTCTAAATTCATTTATATAGTTCCATTGCTTTCCACTTGATTTGATTGGTAGTAATATTTTCCATATTTCGGGTATGAGTGATGAGTCATTCCTATTGCATGTGTAGGGTGTAGACTCGATGAACAAGGATTGAGTAATCAACCTTTCTCTCCACCTACCTAGATTACTTTTTAGAATTTTAAGCCTCTCCCACCCTGTTGTGTGTTTGTGTGTTTAATGCATGCAGTGGAATGTAGTGCTGAGCTTTTTTCTAAATTACTTATCTACTCGGGGTCAACGATTCTTACCTTAGCCAAATTGTTATGTTCTGACAATCTGACTACCCTCGACCTACTAGTTTGACCTATGTAATTGACTTAACTCAGTCATTGCAAGGTATTATGTAAATTATAGTATTTTGTTTCATTGGGTCCACCGGGTCACGTCTGTACTGCTTCTCATAAGTCTCAGTATTACAAAGTATTGCCCAACGCAGAAGCTGATAAGGTAGAATATGAAAATGTGTTCAAACAGTTTCACCTGACATCGTATTGTTATTTAGTCAGCAGAACAAAAACCCCTACTGCACCACATCATTCCGTGGTGTTGATATGATACAAAAAAGTAGTCATCAAATGACTGTTTTACTTATTCTAAGTTGAAAAGAACAGACATGAGATATTCAGAGATAAATTTAAGGGTTGGGTGTTTCTCTCCAGATACTCTTTATTCCAACCTATTTCGCAAGTATGTTATCCAGAAATGCTTTTTATTTCACTTTGTAACGAAGATAGCGAACATACAAGAACGTGTGAGAAGGAATTTTCAAGCATATGACAGTATTATATGAGGAGGAACAAATATCACTTGCAAAAATTAACATAATGAAAAATCGCCATTAGTAGTGATTAGAAACTATGCTAATAATTAGCAACTAATTAACGAAATGAAATGGAAAGAGATTATCAAAGGACAATATTCAGTAAAAGCGATAAACATTTGTATATATCTTGGACGTTTCATCAGCTTATTGAAATACGGAATTTGAAAAATTATAATAATAAATGCTTCAACCGCAGCATATTAATCAGCGTTGTAGTGAAGAAATATGTTTCCCAATTATCATTTTAAGAGAAGCCAAATAAGCGATTGTGACACAAGTGAACAGTCTAGTTCCGTAAGCAAAACAATGGATGATTCCGAATCAAATTAAACTGTGATGCACAAATTTAATTTCCCAGCTGTGTAGGGGATTACTATCCCATGATAACATATCAGATAAACTTTCCAAAATGTAATCATGATATTCACCCAAAAAAATTAATATAAGTATAAAACTTGGGCACTGTGGCAGAGTATAACTCCATTATGGATAAGATTTTATTTTGATAAATCACACAGTGTTATACAGTAATATTAACTGAAAGAAATTAATGATCACAACCTCAGTAAGCCTAAGCTCCAATCACTTCAACCGTTTATGGTCATTACTACTGCTTCACTTGAAATTGGTCTAGATCCATTGTCTATGGAAGTAGCCACCATTAGATATGCATTCACCAGCGTTTATTTACTTTTACGAGTCACATTATGGTACTTATGAGTAGGTCAAGTAGTTTTAAGGAACTTTTTTAACTTAAATTCAGAGTGAAACCCATGAAATTAGAAATTTATCGCATGAACATTGTTGAGATACATCATTTTCTAAAGCATCCTGGTGATTCTAAAACACTTAAAACCACTTGCTGAACATTTACATGAACACACTTTACCCCCAACATAATATAGTCAATGAATTCACTTGTTTTTATATTGCCGAAAATAAGTTTCATATCACAACTAAAATAAACTTGATCAAATTATTTGTTTAACTTTCTTGAATATCTCGGAAAAGACTTACTCTTATTCCTATAAGTCAATATTTGCCCTCAGCACACAAATTTATACGCAGATATATGTCATACATAAGGTGATTAA